TCGGAGAGGCAAAACAAGTTTAAAAGGTTATCAATTTGGTGATGCAGTTTTTGAAAAAACTGATCATCCCAATACAATGATTCAAAAAATATATTGCTTGTGTTGACGGTGTGAAACCATGATTATTTTTAAATTAAGAGTTTTTAGTATTATCTAATTGATAAATTTTTATTGATCATTGATTAATTTCATTCCTCGAATATTTAATTACTGTTTGGATACGTTAAGATACCAACTCGTATTTATTCCAAGAAGAACAATCATTTACATTGCGCTCACTTAAGAAATACACAAATATAAACAATCATAGAATTAGCTCGGGCGAAGTTGTTTAGATTAACCTACACTGTTGACAGACGATATTAGATAGCGTCTATAAAATATAAGACAGTAACATGATAGTGCCCGTAAATCATTAATCACCTTCTTTACTCGCAAATTAGTATAAAAATTAACTAAACTTTAAATAATTAAAAAATTTCCGGGGCCTTTTGCGAGGCCGTCGGCAGTCGCCTAGCGCCGCTACTGCATATAATAAAAAGTATATGATAAAATAACTTTTACGTATTAAATACTTCAAAATTCAATATTAGTTAAATCTTTAAACTTTTCTATAAATTCCATATTTTTTCTGACTCGATTTATCTAATGTTCACTAATCTAAAACTAATAATATACCGACGAAAGTGTGATATTGCTTCAGTCAGTTATTTGTGATATTGAGTTCTAGTGGATCGGTCAAAGATGTTCATAAAATAATGGAAAATGTATAAAACAAAAAGTTCAGCTGCAATATAGTGGGTTTGGACGTAAAATAAAAGGCGAGGAAAAAAAGTTTTAGAGAAACTGAACCTTACAAAATTATGGTAAGTTATTGTTTTATTTAAATATTTGTTTATCAACTATTATTATTATAATTATTATTATTGTTGTTGTTTATTATTGTTTCAGAATTCATTATGACAAAATATCAATCGTTACCGAATAATAGACAGAGAAGGTGGTGGACATGCTCAGCGGACGTAATTTAATTACGTATTATTAATAATGAAATTTAACTAATTTAACTTAATGTAATTTAACTATAAATATAAATAAAAAGTAAGTTATTGTCAATGTGTATCTACTATTATTAGTATTATTGACTTCCCGTAAATCGAAATGGATTTTTTTTTGCGTATCTTTACATTTCAGGGTTTCGGAACATTTTGGCATACTTAGAAAAAATGGATGTGTGGGTGTGTGTATGTATGTGTGGATACAATTTTTCGTCAAATTTGAATCATCCAAAAAACAAAGTTTTTGGCAATGCCAGGTCCTATCGTTTTGGATATACGAAGATAAATGTGCAAAAAATGGCAGAAAGAAAAAGAATTCTTTTTTGTAGTTCTTTTAAAAGGAAAAAGATTTTAATTATAACTAAAATTCTGAACACCTCTTATATTAAATTTTAATATTAGACAATGTTCGTTTTAATTCCGATTATTTAGGTCCAATAAACGTCATTGTCCAATTCATAAGCTCTTACATTTTTGTCTATAGAATAAAAATAATTTAATTTGCATTCCGGAAACCGAGCCCGGCCCAGTCGTGGCAATTAAGGATGGCGCAGTCATGGCAAATAACCATGGCCCAGTCGTGGTAATCGAGCCTAGCCCAAGCCTGGCTTAGTCATGGCAACCAAGCCTGGCCCATCGTTATCACTCCAGATTTCTACCAATGCTGGGCCCAGCTTGGCTTACAAGTCTGGCCCAAGCCTGGCTCAGTCATGGTAATCGAGCCTAGCCCAAGCCTGGCTCAGTCATGGCAACCAAGCCTAGCCCAAGCCTGGCTCAGTCATGGCAACCAAGCCTGGCCCATCGTTATCACTCTAGATTTCTACCAATGCTGGGCCAAGCTTGGCTTACAAGTCTGGCCCAAGCCTGGCTCAGTCATGGTAATCGAGCCTAGCCCAAGCCTGGCTCAAACATGGCAACCAAGCCTGGCCCAATCCTGGCAACCAAGCTTGGCCCATCGTTATCACTCCAGATTTCTACCAATGCTGGGCCTAGCTTGGCTTACAAGCTTGGCCCAGAGTTGTACATAGTTGGGCCAAGCCTGGGCCGAGCCTGGCCCGTGGTACTTTCCCGTATGGGACCCCATAAAACTATTTGTTCACATTGTCAACGCTGGCAAAACGTTTTTATAAATTAGATGATAACTCTTTATAACTCTTAATAACTGCAATTTTTGTACTTTTTGTCTCGTATCTTTGAAGCGGCTGGAATTGCCTTTGCAAAAATCTAATCAGCACAAGCTCCGTCAATACGAAATGAATATTTCTTGAATCATTCTAATCGGATGCCCGGTTCTCACAATAACCAAGTTTCGATTTTCTGCACTTCCCGCTTTTTTGCTCCGTATCTTCGAAACGGCTGCCAAAAGGAATCGAATGTTTTATGAATCATTCAAATCGGCTGATCTGTGATTCCGAAAACGTGGAGAAAAAATTGTATCCATATCCACATATATGTATATACACACACGCAAGCATACACACATTCATATTTTCTAAAGTATGCCAAAATGTTCAGAAACCACTGAAACGTAAAGATATGCAAAAAATTTTATTCTCATTTCTTTGACAATTACTATAACTTACTCTACGGGAAGTTAATAAATATAAAAATTACAAATAAAGAAAATCTGAATTCATCATTTTCCTTACACTGTTCATAAAATCGCCGTAAAAGGCAAGTCTTTTATAATACCCATCATCACATTACCCTGCTGTACATAGATTTCCTTAACAAACTTCATAACGAGTTATTTTTCCTGATAAGGACTTGATTATATCGTTAGGCGTTCTGCTGCAGGAATCGCATACAAATGAAACAAAATAAAGTTTCCTTATGAAATACTAAATAGGGAGAATGAACTCGAGTTGAGATAGTGAAATTGCCTCTCGTCTATAATTTATTACGGCTTACTTTTATGAGAGATCTTGATTGTGTAATATCCTTCAAGGAGTTACAAAAATATATTTTCATTTTATATTCATAACTCGTACCGCGTTTATAGTCTTTTCAACTTCTCGTAGAGAGAGTTATTGAAATCGAACAAATATTAATTGTTTTTGTATTAATTTTGTTTCAAGATTACAGAAATATTATTTTTCTGTGGGCGTATTTCTCTGGATACTAATTTTAAATGTTATTTTTAAATGATGAAATCAGTTGGCTAGTACCTAGATTAATAACTTACCGAAAGAATTTTCAATATATTTTTGCAAAAAAATCCGATTCCTAATTTTTTGTTTTTTCGACGTTTTAAGTCATTCTGAATTGATCTATTTTAACTTCCCGTAGGGTAAGTTATAGTATGTGTGTGTGTGTGTGTGTGTGTGTAAACGTGTGTAGGTGTGTGTGTTTGTATGTGCGGATAAATTTTTTTGTCTATGATTTCTAGAACACGGATCAACTGATACACATTGATAAGGAGGCGTGCTGATTAGTTTTTTGGCCAAGGCAGGTGCAGCTGATTCACAGACACAGGCAAAAAGTGTCAAAAATAGTAATTTAGTTTTTGAGAGAACGAAGCGTTTGATTTCAATAATTTAAATATCATTTTACTTGTATTGATAAAATAAAGAACTGGATTAAATTTGTAAAACGGCAGTCCTAGCAGTTTGGAGAATCAATGAAAAAAAAAATGCTATATGACAGTCAAAAAAAAAGTTAGACACATGTACATCAAATTATCAGTTATTTTATAGAGATTTTAATAATAAGTACAAATTTTGTTCACACTTCTATGAGTTTTGTACCAAGATACGTTAGACTTAAACGCGACGCTTACGCGCTTCGATTGCTTTGAAAACAAAAACTAAATTTTCAAAAAAATCTAAAATATATATTTTTTTAAAAAAGTCATTGCTTTGCAAAGATTTCAAACTTCTCAAAAATCATATGTTTCAACGTGTTAAAAAAAATTGAGTATTTGAGAGAATGGAGTATCCAATTTGAATGATCCAATAAATATTTAATTTGTATTGGTAGGGAGAAGTGATTAGTTTTTGGCAAAGGCGGGTCCAGCCATTTTGAAGATGCACAAAAACGGCAGTTTTTGAAAGAACTAAGCATTCGGTTTGAATGATTTGAAAAACTTTGTGTTTGTTTTAACAAAATAATTGCTTTTGGAAAAAAAATTGTTTCAAGTTTTTTTTTAATTTTTTTTTTGTTCATCAAAAATAATTCAGATTTTAATTTTAAATATGGCTAAAGTTCTAAAGCTCACTTATATACTTTAAATAAATAATTTTAACTTTGTAATTCAGTTTATATAAATTATCTTATTATTTTTATGCCTCACATCACTAGTTTCATTTTTGTCTAATATGTCTAATTTGAAAGAGTTGAAATAGATTCCACCTTAATAGATACATCTCAATTATAATTGATTATCTCTGTACGTATCAAGAAATTTATGAAACTTGCTTTGGCAAAATGCTACTTACAACTTGCTTTGGCAAAATGCTACTTACATCTTACTTTTGGTTTTACTAGTTTCTAGTAAATTCATTCATTTACTAGTTTATAATATAAAATCTTTATATGTGTAGGCTTATTCAAAATTAATCTTTGGATAATGGTATTTTTCTTGGAACTATACGCACAGATAAAACCATTTATACTTATTTATCTATGGATAAAACTTTGTCACAAACTTAGTGGTTGGAATTAACTATAGTTAATAATAGGTTTACCTTTGGTAGATGATTTCTCGAAGTATATTTTTATTCGTTTTATATTGACTTACGATTTATATTTTCTAAAATATCAGCCTTATCAGTTTATGTTATTCAAACATCAAAGTTCAAGTCAGAAATCAACGTTGAAATGATATATATATATATATATATATATATATATATATATATATATATATATATAATATAAGAGTATAAATATTTAGTTAATATGTAACTAAAATTCGAAAGTTTTGAATAATTATATAAATACCTGTGATGGAAGCAGATACAAATTCATAATAACTGTTCAAGTATTTTGTAGGATATTTGGAGATTCAAAGACACAGCAATTAATCTCCTGAAACAACAAAAATATCAAAATTAGTTTAAGAAATCTTATTTGGAATTATTGAATTGATACCAGTAATGACATAATGACCTATTATCATTCAGCACTTCTAAAATAACTAAAAGAAATCGTTGGTATGGGTATTTTACCTTAAGGCAAGTTACATGAACTTCCCGATATGTGTTAATAATCTACTTAATTCATGATAAATAAATTAATTTATGAGTGGTGAAAAGTATTCGAAGTGGATTTATTACAAATTATTGAAAATCAAACACGTTACCCCGTCGGAGTATTTTCTGAAAGCAAATTTTCAAAATTCAATAATTTTTTATAATTGAACCAGTTTTCCTAGGACCTTAATACTTTAGTATGTTCATTTTAAGATCAGGTACTGTATCGCTATACCAAGTAAATTGTCTAATTTTAATTTTAACAAAAGTCAAAAAAACTACTCGTTTTCTCAAAATTTGATGAATTTTTAAGTTCTATAAGACCATGATATATATCGTCAAAAAAAGTTCCATAAAAATAGGCTTAATTTTTTTTCAACAGTTAATTAAAAGAAAACGGCTCGCTAGATTTTCACCTAAAACTAATCCTTCTCGAAGTTGAAAACACAAAAATACAACTTATTTATAATCATGCTTAAATATTAAAATGGCCAATAATGCTTTGATAGTATTTAATAGAGATCAATAATTATGCTCCTTAGTTAAGAAAGAATTGATTTTTTTCATTTTCAATGAAGATTGATTCATCATTGGCAATCAAAACTACATGTTCTTTGAACTGTGTTTGCTAACATAGATTCATAAACTAATATTTTTGTAACCCAGTGGTTAATCAAACTTTAGTACCTACTTGTATGTGGCTTATATTATATATGTGTCTCTAATTTCAGCAAAACGCGATTTTCACTTAATATTAAATTAGAGATCTATAAGCTTGATATTACACTGTCTGATATCGAGCTAGGCCGAGGTTGGGATTATGCTAAATTACGTGCTCTAGTCGATTTCAATTTTAATTAATGCTGAAAACATTTAAAATTTCTCGAATATTCATTCCAATACCAGCAATTGTCCCTTAATGTAACAAAATTAGCAAGCATTTTAATCTCTATAAAATATCTGATAAATTGATATGCATATGTCTAATGATCATTTTTGACCAACATATATCTTTTTGAAGTAAAACTTTCTTAGGCGCGACTAGGAAGTAAATCTGTGAAAATGCAACGGAAGTTGCGTTACGCCCGAACTGTTCGTCACTCGCTCTTGATGAAATCATTTCTTTGCGGGTCGATTGTGATTAGTCGTCGTGTCGAGTGAATAGAGATCTTTCGTTGCATGTGCTTATAGGTTATGCCACGGTTGGCTGTTAAAGATTAAATTAAAATGGATTTTATTTACAGAATCCATTTTAGTGAAAATTGTTTAAAATATTTAGTCTTAAACTGTATGAACTCTCAAGATATGAAACTCAAACAAAATATGCATTTTTATTTTCTCTCTTATAAAGTTTATATAAACTCTCTTATATACCATAAGAATATTGGATATGTCACATGATACATTTAAAAAACGTTCCAAAACCTCGCACAAGCTTTTATTTTTCAATATTCTCTACATGAATAAATATTGTAAACAATATTCTTTTATATTCTATCTAACAGGAAAGTTTTGTTTTGTCTTTATGACAAAATCATGCAAGTAGAAAACTAATGCCATTATATAAATGAAAATTCTGCAGTTAACATGAAAATAACTTGCGTATATATTTTGTCATTTGAGTTTTCAAATAAAAAGTTTAAATCGCTTTTCCAGAAGTTGTAGCATAATGCTTCGAATACTTCAGTCGAAAAACTAAAACAATATCGCAAAGAATTATAATTTTTAAAAAGACGGTACAAAGGAAATTGAAGTTTTACGAATATATTATTATTACAAAGTGCTTTCACTCGTAAACTTGCAAATGTTCAAAATTGTTTAGTTTTCATTTTTATGACGACATTTTTGTAAACTACTCGAATTTTAGAGAAACTACTTTACGTACAAATAGGGGAGCTTAACGCTTATTTGTAACAGGGATACTAGTAACAGACGCTTTTTAATAGAATCTTAAACGATATTAAAGTATTTTTTTGTCTCAATTAGACATGTATTCCGTCCTGCATAATATTGTCAAAGCTAATGTTTCGTAAGCCGTCGTAATAAACAGAACTGTGCAGGTCCGACATTTCTGACAGGTAATACAAAATTGATCAAATGAAACATTTTTTGTTCTGATATCCAGTTCTTTAAAATTTTTAGAACAAAATAGTAGATAAAAAAAAAGTACGCGTAAGGTTCACACGCGATTGAAGTAAAACCTTTTTGCTATTGTACGAGATGGCATTCAAGTTAAAAATAAATACATCACATATCAATTTTGAATAATTTATTAGTAATATGGTAACAATCGTGATGCACACATTTATTTATGTCAACCATTATATATATTTATTTCATAATATATTATGAATTATAAATTTTAAAATATATCAAATATTAGCAATAATGTAATTTAAGTCATAATTCAAATACGACATGATCGGTTTGTGATTGTAATTAGCATTTAGAAATGAACCTTTATTAGAGAAATGAAGTAATTGCTGAATAATAACTTCTATAATATTCGTTCACACAGTTGATTATGTTAAACAACGCCTAAACAAATATTGTTTTCGCAACTTCACTCATCATGTAATTTTGTTGAAAAACTTCATGTAATTAAAGTTAACATACATTCATTGACTGTTTGTATTTTCTTTACTTTTTTGCTGGCGATATAATCTTATTCTTTGAACAGCTGTAATATCTGTCTTGCCTTAAAAATATTTTCCATTTTAATAACTTCAAATATTTATAGAAACTTCGAATAATATAAAAATAATTTCTAATCAATAAACTTGCGTTTAGTACACGGCACAAATGTTTAATTTGTTTTATTATATTCAAGGAACAGGGTAAAATATTTTTTTGATTCAGGCACTTTTCATTAAATCAAGATTTGTACTACGATGCAACTTTAAAATGCCTATTTATCTATGCCGATTTTCTTGTTGATATCGGTACGCATACAACGTTGATTCCGGTACGCATACAACAACAGATCTCTATTCACATACACGACGACTAATCACAATCGACCCGTATAGAAATGATCTCATCGAGAGCGAATGACGAACAGTTTGGGCCTAACGGACTTCCGTTGCATTTGTACGGATTTACATCCTAGTCGCGCCCAAAGAAGTTTTACTTCAAAAGTGATATATATAAAAAAGAAATTTGATGTTGAAACTTCATCGCCTTCATCATGAAGTTCGTGGTCTTCATACTAAATTTTTAGACTACGACGCAAAATATTTAATTAATTCATTATTTATGTGTAATAAATACTTAGAAAATTAAGAAAGATCAAAACGTTTACCATCATCATTCGGACTATTTTGCTATATTGGCGTTTACGCTTTTTCACACTTGATTGAACCGACTTTTCGATGTCTAAATAAAAACACCCACCGGCTGAAACGTCTTCTGTTCTATACATGTTTCTTGAGGGACAAATAGCCCTGAGGGACAGATCGGTCGCAATATCAGGTGTCAGCAGAATTTATGCGATCGAAAAGTACAGGTAATTTCTTGAATCCTCTCCAGGTTACGCTAAGACAATTATGTGTTATGGTTGGAAGGTTTTCATCAACTGAGTAGAAAAGCTAAGGGCTGGTTGTAACAATTTTTAAATTAATATATCGTAAAAACCACTCATTATACCCCTATGAAATAAATATGAATATTTGCTGTAACTACTTCTCTACCAAATCAAGTTAAAACTAGTTCTGTAATAAAATATTCGAAAAATATTAAATATATTCAAATATAATATTATAAATACTGCAACTTTTATTATTCGAATTTTATAGACGAAATATTAAAGCTTATAAATTAAACGATGACGTTTATATAGATTTACAAAAAAGTGATTGAACAAAACCTAATCGAGCGGAGTTATCTCATATTTCTAAGAATTATAAAAACTGAATTGCAAAGTTAAAATTATTAATTCAAGTACATACGCTATCTTTTGAATTTAAGCTAGAATTAAAATCAAAATCCGAATCATTTTCGATTAAAAAATGTTTAAAAATAAATTGAAACAAAAAAAAAGTTTTTTGCTTTCTCCAAAAATAATAGTTTTGTCAACACCTGCAAAAGGTTTTTTGATTTATTCAAAACGGATGCTTCGTACTCTCAAAAACTCGATTTCTATCTTCTGGACTCTGCTTCGTATCTCCGGAACGGCTGGACCGACCTTCTCCAAAAACCAATCAGCATGTAAGCGTCGATGCTTACAAATAGTTTTGAACCAATTATTCATTATTAAAAATTGAAAAAAAAGATCTATACTAAATATTCTTTTGAGTGGAAGTCCCGTAACGCCGCACAGCACCTAACGCCGGACACTCTTTTTAGTAAGTATTATTTAAGCGAGAATAAATCTTTTAATTTCAAAATACAAGTGAAAGGAGCGCGGGACACACAGGTGCTGGATCACGCGCGGAAAGAACCCTTTGCTGTTTTATGCGTAAAATCACGGCGTCACCTAAATATCAATGGCACTAATTCTGGTATATTTACGTATTTACATTTGAGTGGCATTCAAAGATAAAAGTAGTACTTGATTGTTATCCGTAAAATGGTAGAATATTATTAGATATTTTAAACAATTTTAGTAGGTACCAAATGAACGAACATGCCTGTCTCTTAGCACTGGACACTAAGTCGTCCCTTAGCGCCGGACACTAAGTCGTCCCTTAGCGCCGGACAGTAAACATATAGATAATTTTTGTGAGAATTCACGTAATTTATTCTAATTATTTAATTTTGTTTTGTATGAATGCTAACGGTCACTAGATACCACCATTTTTCGTTTTTCCT